CCACCCTCACTCCCCACAAATCTCCCCACCCCCCCAGCATCCCCCCCACCCCCTTGCCACCATCTGGTGATCCCCCTCGCCCTTGCACCACCACCACCCTGCCCCCCACCCCCGGACAACGTCCCCACCAGAAACGGCCAATGCCACACAATACTCACTCGGTCCTTTCACTACAACCTTCAGGTCTCCAGTACCAGCCCCTTTTGTGTAGACCTTGAAGTCTGCTGTTTCTTTGGCACGTACCCCTTTGGGCTGGAGTCCACGTCCAACTGCCCGACAGGCACTGGGGTTACAAGCTGCCCATGGGAAGACAGGGTTGAGGGGTGAAGATGGGGGGACAATAACAAAAAAAGTACAGAGCACAACACGTGAGGTACACAGCAAGCGCAAATAATAAAGAGTGAGATACCTCCAGTCCCACCCTCGGAGATTCCTCCGACACCCTTTGCGAGTGGGAGCCAAGGGAGTGAGAGAGAGAGATAAGCAAGTCACAGAGTCATACAGCACAGAAACAGACCCTTCGGCCCAACCAGTCTGTGCTGACCATGATCCCAAACTAAACTAGTCCCATCTGCCTGCTCCTGGCCCATATCCCTCCAAACCTTTCCCTATCCATGTGCTTAACCAAATGTCTTTTAAACGTTGTAACTGTAGCCACATCCACCACTTCCTCTGGAAGCTCATTCCACACACAAACCACCCTCTGTATAAAAAAAAGTTGCTCCTCATGTCCTTTTTAAAATCTTCCTCCTCTCACCTTAAAAATATAGCCCCTTGTCTTGAACTCCCCCACCCTAGGGAAAAGATACCCTTACTGTACCTTATCTGTACCCCTCACAATTTTATAAACCTCTATAAAGGTCACCCCTCAAGCTCCTACACTCCAGTGAGAAAAGTCCCAGCCTCTCCATACACGGCAACATCCTGGTAAATCTCTTCTGAACTCTCTCCAGCTGAACAATATCCTTCCTATAACAGGGCGACCAGAACAGGACACAGTGCTCCAGAAGAGGCCTCACCAACATCCCGTACAACCTCAACATGAGTCATCACAATTTTGCTGATCTTTCTTGGTGTAGACCACAGCTGGAGTACTGTGTGCACTGTTTTGGTGTCTCCCTGTCTGAGGGAGGATGTTCTGGCGATGGAGGGAGTGCAGCAAAGGGTTTACCAGACTGATTCCTGGGATGGCAGGGCTGACAGAGGAAGAGATACCGGATCGGTTAGGACAGTGTGGTAGCTGGAGGCTTCAATGACGCCTGCATTTTTGTAACAAAATCTTGGAATCCCTAGAGTGTGGGAGCAGGCCATTCAGTCCACACCGACTCTAAGAAGAGTATCCAACCCTAGATCCAGACCCCTATCCTATCCCTGTAACAAAATACACGCGACAATAAATAACTCCAAATCAAAATATTCACTGGAGTTTAGAAGAACGAGGTGGGGGAATGTTCCAGAAACCTATAAATTTCTAACAGGACTAGACTGGGGAATCAGTCCCACTGGGAGCTAGTGTCTCCCACAGCCTCGATCAGCCAAATCCCTCTGTGCTGGTACACTGAACCCCTGCCCCTTCCTCCCGAGGGGAGACCGAGTGAGGGGCCTCCCTCTTCCCTGGGGGAGCACAATGAAGGCAGGGGAGGTTAATGGTGCTACCCCCCCCAACTCATCCCCAGACGAGAGCAAACTTACTGCGACAAAGAGGTCCCCATCACAGGCGGAAGGCAGAGACAGGGAGAGAGAGAGACAGAAGGTCATCCAAACTGGAGCCAGCATTCAGGACGAGCAAAGATGGCAGTGAGAGGGAGAGCAGCCGGAGTGGGGGGGATGGGGGATGGGGGCAGGAGGAGCAGAGTAGATTGAGGTAGGTGAGCAGGGGGAGAGAGGGGGGATGGAGGGAGATGGGGGAGAGAGAGGGGGGAGAACGGAGGGAGGGGGGGGATGAGGTGGGGGAGAGGGGGAGGGGGCAGCAATAAAAAAGGAAGGGGGTAGAGAGAGAGAGAGAGATAGCATCAAGCAACTTTGAAAGAAAAAAATCACAGGCTGACAGTCAGAGAGACCCCTCAAGGAGGGAGAAAATGTCAGACAATACCGTAACAGGCAACAGAAATGTGAACCAGCCACCAAGCAGACCCCCATGTCCCTCCCTCGTGCCCCTCCCCATATCCCAGTACCCGTCCACATGCCCCTCCCTCACCCCTCCTCCCAACATCCCCTGTTCCCCTCGGGACTACCCCCACTGTGCCTCTGCCCTCCCTCACCCCTCCTCCTGTCTCCCTCTGCCCCCCCTCTTGGGAGGTTCCAGTGCCGAGATATTTCAGGGAGCTGACAGCTGATGTAGAGGGAAATGTTTCTGCTTCTCGGGATGCGCAGGGTTTTTCACGGTGGCGGGGGGTGCAGCGGTGGGAGGGTGGTCACAGGCCATTCAGGAGGGATATCAGCAAATACAGTCTCCACACGACATTCCAAATCTCTCCCACAAAAATAGCAATCGATGATGGTCCTGGGGATTTTAAACACGTGAGATCTGCCTCGTCCAATTGTAGGGACACGGGGCGGTCTCATTAAATGAGCAAGTGGAATGGAAAAGAGGAGTGAATGGCGTCCTATTCCTGTGTAACTGGCTCAAGGAGGGGGCAGAATGGCCTCCTCCTGACTTAGTTATCGGGTTTGGGGGCATGGGCGTGGGTCGGGGTGATAGAAATCTCAGAAGGTGCCTGGACAAGGCTGCATGAACAGTTCAGCTCCCCTCACCCCCAATGCTACACACCCACCACCAAAGGGACACTTGGGGCAAGAGAGAGAGTAGGGGGCATCCCTAAAAAAACAGTCCCTGAGAGAGAGATTGTGTGCGTGTGTGAGAGAGAGAGAGCGCGCGAGAGGTGAGGTGGGGTGGTGTGAGGGGCAGGAACACACTCACCTTTTGCCACAGACACAGAGAAGGGGCTTTTGGGGATCTGTGCGCCTCCAAAGGTCACAGTCACAATATGCATTCCCTCAACGAGGGGCCTGTATGTACAGCGATACGAGCTGTTCCCTCGATCCTCCAGCTGCACCTCGACAGTGTCCTTATTCCCCTGGGGGTCAGTGACAGTGACAGAGACCTCCCCCAGTCCGGCTCCTGATGACACAGACAGAAATATCACAGCTCCATCAGGAAAACCAGAACCACACTCGCAGTATATTAGGGAGAGAGAGGTGGGGGTTGAGTCAGAGGCGGCGGGGAGCAGAGACAGTTCAGAGAGAGGGTGGGGAGGAGGGGGCGCAGACAGAGGGGGGGGGGGGGGGGGAGGAGGCAGGGTCAGCGAGAGAGAGGGTAGGCGGGGAAGAAAGAGGCGGGTTGTAGGGGGGGTAGAGAGGGGGAGCCAGCAACAGAGACAGGG